TGGGAGGTTTTTTTTTTTTTTCCGGCCTGACGTAGGAGTAGATTGTGTCCGAAGGAGGCTTTTTTTTTTTTTCCATCACAGACTGCGTGGTCACGTCCTTCAGAAAGGGACTTTTTTTTTTTTTGCTACGCATGCTGCCGGGGGGCCTCTGCCTCTCCCAGCATTTTTTTTTTTTTGACTCCAGCGTGGACTGGATGCATCTGCTGAGAGATAGCTTTTTTTTTTTTTAGAAACGGCTGTGCTTTTTGTACCAACGAGCTTTGGGTGTTTTTTTTTTTTTCCTTCTGCCACCAGGACACTCACGGGAGTCGAGGTGAACCTGCGAGGCGTCTGCCCTGCACACCGGAGTATGTGGTGGGGAAGGAAGGGGGTTTTTTTTTTTTTACGCCTGCCAAGATCTTCACCACGTGTCAGAAGCTCTCATTTTTTTTTTTTTAGGCTACAGGGACCCTGAGCCGCCCGCGGGTTGCACAGATTTTTTTTTTTTTTCGCTGCCTCGCCCCTCAGCCCCCACGCACAGTGCCACGTTTTTTTTTTTTTCTAAGAAGAGTCAGAAGCTCACAGCCCCGGACAAAGCCATTTTTTTTTTTTTTAAGGGCCCGCAGAGCAGCCGAAGTTAAACCAGGAGGCATTTTTTTTTTTTTAGTGGACGCTCTGTGGTCCTGCGACCCTCCGACCTGCTGTTTTTTTTTTTTTTTCTATCTCACCCCTTAACAACAGTATAAAATCCTCAGGTTTTTTTTTTTTTACAGCACCTCCAGCAGGGGAGGTGTCAGAGCAGGACTACTTTTTTTTTTTTTCACCCAGCACTCAGAAGACCACGGACGGAGCAGCTCACCTTTTTTTTTTTTTCGCTCGCGCTCTGAGCCCCAGAGGATTTCTCTCTCAAAATTTTTTTTTTTTTAACCCTGGCTGCCAGGAAAGGAGGCGCCCTCTGTGCCAGCCCCTGCCCCTGCCGTGGCAGAGCTGGGCTGCTGAGGGAGCCTGCACCACGCTTTTTTTTTTTTTGACCGCCCGGAGCAGAAGGGACGTTCATGTGACCGACTGTTTTTTTTTTTTTATTTCAGCCTTTCTCCCTTACCGGGGGCAGGGCAGCCACTTTTTTTTTTTTTTCGGAGAGGATCACATGACGGTGGATATTCCTGGGTGCATTTTTTTTTTTTTCCTTCCGCCTGAGGCCGGGAAGAAACAAGGCACAGTAGATTTTTTTTTTTTTATGAAACGGTAACAACCACAGCACCAGGGTCCCCACCCCTTTTTTTTTTTTTGCATCTCGCTGCATCTCTGGTGGCTCTGAAAACTGCACGTTTTTTTTTTTTTCTCTCAAGCAGAGGCAGCACAGCTGGTCCTGGCCTGTGGTTAGGGACCCTCTAGGGGCCAATCCCAGCCGCAGGGCCTGTGACTCAGCCTCTTTTTTTTTTTTTCAAGAACGATGGGAGCCGTGGCCAGTGGCTTCTGGTGGGTTTTTTTTTTTTTCCTCTACATGAGAGGACACCTCGGCGTGTCACCGCTGTGGCTACAGGTAGACACTGGGCCCCGCTGGAAATCGCTCTCGGAGAGAGCGGGTTTTTTTTTTTTTTCACTCCTGTCCACGAGAAAGCTCGGTCCAGTGAGGAAGCTTTTTTTTTTTTTGGACCCATGACTGCCAGTGGCTGGGGGCACCAGCACCTCTTGGGCCCCCCGGGCACAGCCTCACGTCTGCAGCACACAGCCTTCACTGTGGAGATGCAAATGGCTGCCACTCCCACGCGGTCCTCACTGAGCCCGGCCACACCTTTTTTTTTTTTTCGGTGCTGACGCTCAAACTAGCACGGGGCCACAGGCGAATTTTTTTTTTTTTGGTAAGGGGCTGCCTGTCAGATGCAGACGCATCAGGGCACGAGCCTCCAAAATGTTCACACACAGGAGACTCTCTCATCTCCGCCAGTTTATTTTTTTTTTTTTGGTGTGACAGACTCGTCATCACCTCAGCTCGTGTGGAACCACTGCACGACCAGAAGCCACCGCTCCAGCCCTAGGCACCCGGGAACAGCAGCTCGGGACTCTGTGCTGAGGACCACGGCTGCCTCCCAGGAAGCCTCTGGGACTTTTTTTTTTTTTTGTTCCATCTCGCAGGCTCCACACAGGCCCCACAGCAGCAGAGGCCAAGCTGCTCACAGCCCCTCGCCCGGAATCCGAGGCCCCCGTGTCTTTTTTTTTTTTTTCTGAGGAGGGGGCGTGGCAGGCCTTGTGCAAACCCCTAGCTCACCGGTTCTCACAGGCTTCCACGGCAGGGTCCCCGGCATCCACAGTCTGTTTTTTTTTTTTTACGTTCTCCTCCAGCCAGCTCATGGTGGCAGGTTCTTTCTTTTTTTTTTTTTACCTCCCGAGGTACAGGTTCACCAGCTGGCTCAGGGCAGTTTTTTTTTTTTTGGAGAGCAAGGCCCATGAGCAGAACCCTCTTTAGGCCAGTTTTTTTTTTTTTGCCAGCAGAGTCCCAGGGTTGGGCAGAGGGGTGGTCCAGTTTTTTTTTTTTTGCCTCGAGTGCAAGGGGGCCCCTGGGCTGCTGGCCTGAGTTTTTTTTTTTTTGGCACACAGGTATGTTTGTATTCTTTAGGAAGCACGACTTTTTTTTTTTTTTTGTGAAAATGCAACCAGGGTGGGTCCTTCCGCACCGGCTTTTTTTTTTTTTTAGGGGCTGACCCTGCGGCGTGCGCTTTCTTCTGTGTTTGTTTTTTTTTTTTTTCTGTTTTTTGAGACAGGGTCTCGCTGTCGCCCAGGCTGGAGTGCAGGAGCAACAACAGCTCACCGCAGCTTTGACCTCCTAGGCACAAGCTTTTTTTTTTTTTCGGCCTCCCAAAAAGCTGATCACAGGCGTGTCACCACGCCCGGCACCCTCTTTATGAGCCTCGATTTTAAGCTGGAGGCTGATCACCTGGCTTTTTTTTTTTTTCCCACAGAGAAGGGGGCTCCTGAGCCCTCCCATGTCAAATGATAGTCCCTGAGGCCACCGCCACAGCCCCTCCTGCCGCCGGGAGCAGGTCTTTTTTTTTTTTTCGGGATGAGTGAACACAGCTCCCAGGCTCCGAACCCACATTTTTTTTTTTTTGAGCCCCGCCAGCCGCTCTTCACCTTATTTCGGCGTTGGTTTTTTTTTTTTTGTGACTGGAAACCGTGATGTCGGGCCGCACGTTGCAGGATTTTTTTTTTTTTAGGAGGACTGCAGGGGAAGCGGAGGCTCTGTGGGGGCCCTTTTTTTTTTTTTGGTCACTCCCAGCCCCCGAGGTGGTAACGGACACAGTGATTTTTTTTTTTTTGACACAGCTGTTCTAAGGTGGAAGAGTGCAGGGCCAGCGTTTTTTTTTTTTTTGGCATTCTGAGTTGCTGCTGCTGGCGTGCCCAGGGTCTGAGGCTGGGGTCTCCTTCACGCCAGCCCCAAGGAGCCTCCCAGCGTCCCCATTTTTTTTTTTTTTAAGATTCACCCCCCACCCTCCACACACGTGGGGTTGTTTTTTTTTTTTTTTTAGACAGGGTCTCACTCTGTCGCCCAGGCTGGGGTGCAGTTTTTTTTTTTTTTCTTACTACAACTCCACTTCCCAGGCTCAAGTGATTCTCCTTTTTTTTTTTTTTGAGTAGCTGGGATTACAGGCGCCCACCACCGCGCCGGGTTTTTTTTTTTTTTTTTTTTTTTTTTTTTGAGACGGAGTCTCGCTCTGTCGCTTTTTTTTTTTTTCAGTGGCGCGATCTCCACTCACTGCAAGCTCCGCCTCCCTTTTTTTTTTTTTTCAGCCTCCCGTGTAGCTGGGACTACAGGAGCCCGCCACTTTTTTTTTTTTTTTTTTTAAAAATATTTTTAGTAGAGACGGGGTTTCACTGTTTTTTTTTTTTTGGTCTCAATCTCCTGACCTCGTGATCCACCTGTCTCGGCTTTTTTTTTTTTTGGGATTACAGGCGTGAGCCACCGTGCCCGGCAATTTTTGTTTTTTTTTTTTTGACGGGGTTTCACCATTTTGACCAGGCTGGTCTCAAACTTTTTTTTTTTTTTGATCTGCCCACCTCGGCCTCCCAAAGTGCTGGCATTACAAGCGTGAGCCACTGCACCTGGTCAGGGTTGGATGTTTTAATCTCAAACACTGTTTTTTTTTTTTTGCTGGTGGGAGCAGAGGCCACCTGTGCCCAGTGGAAGGGTTTTTTTTTTTTTGCTGTGTCGAGGTCAGAGGCCGCCATGTGGGGGCATGGGTTTTTTTTTTTTTCCCGTTCCACCCCCAGGAATGGGCCCCAGGGCAGAGCCCTTTTTTTTTTTTTGAATGGGCCCCAGGGCAGAGCCCGTTCCACCCCCATGCCTTTTTTTTTTTTTAGTGCTCTGAGGTAAGTGGCAGTGGCTTCTTGGGAGCCCTTTTTTTTTTTTTGGAGGAGCTGACACTACAGCGTGTGAGACAGCGGCACAGTTTTTTTTTTTTTCAGGGCCTCCCAGCCCCACTCCCAGACATGGCTGCACTGTTTTTTTTTTTTTCATGGCCAGCTGCATGCGGCCCAGAGGAGGACAAAGGTGTTTTTTTTTTTTTGGAGATGAAGCTTTCAGGGTCAGTGAGCAGACTGAGGCCTTTTTTTTTTTTTCTGGTGGGCACATTTCTGCTTGTGCTAGAAGCTGCCCAACCCAATGCTGTGGGCCTCCTTGGGGCCCAGACAGAGCCCTAGAAACCCACAGTTTTTTTTTTTTTCTGATGCTTCCAAGGCGTTCTAACAGATGATGAGTGGTCTTTTTTTTTTTTTGTACCAGCTGCATGCAAAGAACCCTCAGCCCTCACAGCCCCTCAGAGGAGCCCCGTCTTAAAGACGGATTTCACACACGCTGTCAGACAGGTTTTTTTTTTTTTGTCTGCCCAGGTGGCAGCCTCACTGTGCCCGCCACATGTTTTTTTTTTTTTTCTACCCAGATGCAGTCAGGGCTCAGGGGCTGTGCAGGCTTTTTTTTTTTTTTCGGCACAGGCCTCCGTTCTGCATCCCAGCATGGTACTGAGCACAACTCTCTCGGCCATGCCTGGGCACTGCCGAGACCTTCCTCTGCTTTGTTTTTTTTTTTTTCACTGGCACAATCCCATGCCCGGCACTGCCCAGCCAGCTTTTTTTTTTTTTTCTAGAACACAAGCCCCACGGGGGTCAGGATGCCTGCCACTTTTTTTTTTTTTGCGTGGCATGCAGCGGGTTCTGAGATGAGCCGATCATCTTTCAGGTTTGGTAGGGCAGGTTTGCAGGCCCTACCAGAGAATGCATATTTCTTTTTTTTTTTTTTAGGACTGGGACCTGGCCTCCCCCACGGCTGGACACACCCTTTTTTTTTTTTTGACGCGGCACCCACCTCCAGGGAACATGGTGAGCGCCTGTTTTTTTTTTTTTGACGCCTTCTCCCTGGCAGAGCTCCGCTCGTGCTCAGGGAGGTCTGTCTGCTGGCTCAGCAGGAAATACGCCAGTGGAACGGAGAAGGCAATTTTTTTTTTTTTGGACAGGTTCCGATGAGCCTACAGGGGATAAAGCAACAGTTTTTTTTTTTTTTTAAGTCAAAGACAAAACACGTCAGTCTGCAGACGCGCTTTTTTTTTTTTTTAGCCGTACCCGGAGCAGGTATATTCTGCGGGCAACACGGTTTTTTTTTTTTTACTCAGCATGAAGATAACTTAAAACATCCACCCGGGGGCTTTTTTTTTTTTTGACAGAGGACGTGGGAGCACCTAAGGAGCAGACTGCGCGGGAGTGCGGAGGCTGTGGGGAGTGAGGGTCCCACCTGCCCCAGGCGCTCCTCTTTTTTTTTTTTTGTCAATATTCTCAACGTGGAAAATTTACAAAGACGAGAGTTTTTTTTTTTTTGCGCGTCTCCGAGAACAGCCCACCGGGCACGAGTCTCCGTTTTTTTTTTTTTACCGCGCGCGTTTCTCTTGCCCTTCTCAGCCTTATCATATTTTTTTTTTTTTCAGCATTTTCTATCAAAATGGGATCACAGACTCAATTTTTTTTTTTTTTTTTCCATCATCAACATTCTTCTGCAGACCCATTTTGAGGACCTTTTTTTTTTTTTCCTGCACCTACACTTCTGTGAGCTCCAGGAATTTCTTTCTTTTTTTTTTTTTTTTTTTTTTTTTTTTGAGACGG